CCGGCCCTTCCCCAGGGATCCACTCCCATCCCAGCTCTCCCCATGGAGCAGTCGCCCTTCCCAACGGGATCACCAGCCTTGCTCCCATCACGGCCCTTCCTCAGGGATCACTGGCCCTGCTCCCAGCCCAGCCCAGCCCTTCCCAAAGGAATCCTCGGCCCTGCTCCTATCCCAGCCCTGGGCACCCTGCAGCGCTCCGGAACCCCTGGGATTCACGGATGGCAGTTTTGCCCCAGCCCATGGGAAGGATTCCCAAGAGGGAGCATCCCCATGCATTCCTGCTCCACACACCACTCCATGCACCACTCCACACAGGTTCCCACTCCATGCACCACTCCAGAGATTCCTGCTTTGTATCCTGCTCTGCACACATTCCCGCTCCACACCCTGCTCAGTGCCCTGCTCTGCACGCATTCCTGCTCCACACACTGCTCCATACACATTCCTGCTCTGTGGGCATTCCCACTCCACACGTTCCCGCGCTCTTCACACTGCTCCACACACATTCCCGCTCCACATCCTGCTCCGTAGACAGTCCTGCTCTCTGCACATTCCCACTTTACATCCTGCTCTGCACACATTCCCGCTCCCCATGCGTTCCTGCCCCGCACACTGCTCCGCACACATTCCCTCTCCACATGCTGCACCGCACAGGCTCCCACTCCACACACATTCCCGCTCCCCACACATCCCCACTCCACATCCCGCTCCACCCATATTCCCGCTTCGCACACTTCCCTGCTCCCCATGCATTCCTGCTCCACATACATTCCTACTCCACATCCCACCCTGCACACATTCCCACTCCCCACGCATTCCCGCTCCCCATCCTGCTCCCGGGGCATTCCCGCGGCGCATTCCCGCGGCGCATTCCCGCCGTACCGGTGTGCGTGCGCTTGTGCCGCTGCAGCTCGTCGGAGCGGGTGAAGCGCTTGCCGCAGAGCACCCAGGTGCACTCGAAGGGGCGCTCGCCCGTGTGCCAGCGCAGGTGGGCGCGCAGGTGCGACGTCTTGCCGTACACCTTGCCGCAGCCCGGGATGTGGCAGATGTGCTGCTTCTTCTTGCCGGGGTCGCTGGTGCTCCTGCCAGAGGGGACGTGTGGCTGGCACCGGGACGCATGCGGTGCCGCGCTGCACCGTGCTGCATGCAGCGTGCGGCACCGCGCTGCACCATACCCCAGTGCCAAGCCGTGCTGCACCGCGCTGCATGCAGCGGGCTGCACCGTGCTGCACCATGCCCCCAGTGCCACACCGTGCTGCACCATGCTGCAACGCGCTGCATGCAGCGCGCTGCACCGCGCTGCACCATGCCCCCAGTGCCACGCCGTGCTGCATTGTGCTGCACCGTGCTGCATGCAGCGTGCTGCACCGCGCCCCCAGTGCCACGCCGTGCTGCATTGTGCTGCACCGCGCTGCATGCAGCGTGCTGCATGCAGCATGCTGCACCGTGCTGCACGCAGCATGCTGCACCGTGCTGCACCATGCCCCCAGTGCCACGCCGTGCTGCACCACGCTGCACCATGCCCCCAGTACCACGCTGTGCTGCACCGTGCTGCACGCAGCATGCTGCACCGCACTGCACCATGCCCCCAGTGCCACGCCGTGCTGCGCCGTGCTGCACAGCACTGCATTGTGGTACGCCGTGCTGCATGCTGTGCTGCACCGTGCTGCACGCTGCTGCACTGCACCGACCATGCCGCCCCGTGCTGCGCTGTGCTGCACCATGCTGCATGCTGTGCTGTGCTGCACCGTGCCAACCCTGTCACCCCATGCTGCATGCTGCGCTGCATGCTGCGCTGCCCCGTGCTGCCCACGCTGCCCCCATGCTGCATGCTGTGCTGCACCACGCTGCAGCGTGCTGCCCTGCGCCAACCATGCTGCCCCATGCTGCGCTGTGCCGCACGCTGTGCTGCCCATGCCGCACTGTGCCGGCACGCGCCGCACCGTGCTGCCGCGCGCTGCCCTGCCCCACGGCACCCCACGGCGCCCCACGGCTCCCTACCTCCCCTCGTTGTCCTTGCAGTAGGGGCAGGTGCAGGCCTCGCGCCGCACCTTGCGGCTCTGCGGCGCCTGCGGCTCCGGGCTGCCGTCGCCGTCCTCGGCGGCCGCGCTCTCCTCGTCGCCGCCGCCGCCGCCGCCGGGCAGCCCCAGCGCGCCGCCGGGCTCCCCTGCAAGGCAGGCGCTGCAGCCACCGCAGTGCCGGCGCTCCGGCCCCGCGCACGCTCCCGCGGGGCTCCGGATGCTCCCGCGGGGCTCCGCATCCTCCCCATGGGGCTCCAGATCCCACCATGGGGCTCCAGATCCTCCCCATGGGGCTCCAGATCCTCCCCACGGGGCTCCAGATCCTCCCCACGGGGCTCCAGATCCCACCATGGGGCTCCAGATCCCACCATGGGGCTCCGCATCCTCCCCATGGGGCTCCAGATCCTCCCCACGGCGCTCCAGATCCCACCACGGGGCTCCAGATCCTCCCCACGGGGCTCCAGATCCTCCCCACGGGGCTCCAGATCCCACCACGGGGCTCCAGATCCTCCCCACGGGGCTCCGCATCCTCCCCATGGGGCTCCAGATCCCACCATGGGGCTCCGCATCCTCCCCATGGGGCTCCAGATCCTCCCCACGGGGCTCCAGATCCCACCACGGCGCTCCAGATCCTCCCCACGGGACTCTGCATCCCACCACGGGGCTCCGCGGAGCCGGGAAGCTCCCGCACGGGCTGCAGCTCCCACAGCTCCACGGGAAGCTGCCTGTTCCCTGGGGAGCCCCGGGAATTTGCCTGTCCTTTCAGCTCCTGCACACGGATCTGTGGAGCCTTGGGAAAACCCTACCACACACGGATCCCTGGACCTTGGGAAAACCCTCCTGACTCCCGCATACGGATCCATGGACCTTGGGAAAACCCTCCCACACACAGATCCACAAGCCCTTGGAAAACCCTCCCCGCTCCCGCACATGGATCCACAGACCTTGGGAAACCTTTCCGCCGGCCTCCCAGCTGGCACCTGCCCAACCATTCCGGCCATTCCAGCTCAATCCCGTGTCCAGCTCGGAGCAAAACGGCCGAGGGAGCCGACAGGACGAGCGCCCCAGCACTCCGGAGCCCAATTTCCTACCGGATTCGGCAGGGCTGGACTTCCCAGGTCCCGCTTCCCACGTGCCCGGGCTGCCGGGAGGAATGTGCAGGAGCCGCTTCCCGCCTCTCCGGCGCCAACACCCGGAACGTCGCGGATTTTAACCCACGTTTTTCCATTTGCAACCTGCCTTATCCCTAGTTTTTGGGGGCGGCCTTCCCTTTGCAAACCACAGCTCACGTGGAAAAGCGGGATTGAATTAATGAAAACTCATCCGGCACCACATGCTCGAGGAGCGATTCCCGATTATATAAAAATGGGAGGAATTCGAGGGCGGAGCCGGCGCATTTGGATCCCTCAACCACGCGGAACGCAGGATGGGGGGACGGAAGGGGAGCTTCTCGGCCGCTCCGTGGGGACCGTCGTCTAATTCCGTCTCCGATGGCGCCGCCCGGGGGGGCCTTTCCCGCCGGAGCGGCAGGCGGCTCCGAGGAGGACGGACACGAGGGAAATTCGCCATAAAAAGCGGAGGGACCTTCACAGCATCCACAGGGATGAGGAAGAGTTCCCGGTGCCTCCGTCATTCCCGAGGGCTCCAGCGCCCCGGGCAGCTCCGCTCCTACCAGCAGGTGTCAGTGGTTCCCTAAGGAGGCGGCACCGGAGACGCCGGGCCAGGATCCAGAAGGTCTGGAGCGGCTTTTCCCACATCCCTCCGGTGCCCGGTGAGGGACAGAGCTCCGGCTGCATCCCGAGGAACGGAACGAGCCAAGCACTGGGATTTACCATGCTGGGAATTAGGGGTCGGACGCTCCAGGCGCCCGGGTGGCACCAAGGGAGAGGCTCCGATGCCTCTTCCCTGCTATTCCCAGGAAAAAATGGTCAGTACCCACTTGGCAAAGCCTGGGACAAACACTTCCCTCCGAGCACACGGGGGCCGGAGCAGGACGGGAATCCGGAGCAGCCCGAATCCGTTGCTCCGGCGGCACCGCTTTCAGGAAGCCGGGCCCTGCTCCACCTTGCTGGCAGCATTCCTGCGCTCCCAACTAGCACTTTTGGGAAGAACCCCCTTCATTCCAGCCCTTTCCCTGCCCAAGCCCCAGTTTACACCTGGAAGCAGCCCGGAGGGAAGCCGGGAGCGACGACGGCTCCAGATTCAACATTCCCCTATGGCCAGGCTCCATCCCGGGAAGGCTGCTGGGAAAAGGGAGGAGGAGGCGCGGCCGAGCGCCCGGAAAGGGGGAGAATCCGGCCCTGATTTCCTGGCAGAGCTTCAGTCCCTGCCGTGCGGAGGGCTCCTGGCGCATCCTGCGTCTCCCTCCTCGTTAATCTGCGGCTCCATCTAATCAAGATCCAAGGAAACTACAGATCTCGGAGCACGCGCGGATCCGGCGGCACCGACGTCTCCAGGATATTGTGATTCCGGGAGGAAAAACTCGGCGGAGGGAAACCAGCTGGAGAATTGCTGGGCATTATCTCGGCTAACAGGGATGAGCTGCAGGACTGGAGCTGTTCCGGAGGCTGCCAGGTCCCGCTCCGGACACCGGAGCACTTAAAAAATACATAAATAGCTCCATGAGCTGCTGCTTTTTTCCTTCTTTCCCTCTTTTCTCTCCTTAGGAAGCCTTGGGGAGGGAATAAGGACGGATTTGCCCGCAAAGATGGGAGGTGCTGTGAGGATGGGAAATGCTGGGAAAGCACCAGCAGGATCCAAAGTCAATCCGCTCCGTGATGTGTGTGCGACAGCTCCGGAAAAATGGGAGCAGGTGGGAGCTGCTGGCCTGGAATGATGGGAAGAGAGGCAGAGAGCGGGGATCGGGTGGAATAAACCCAAGGGAACCGGAGGCCAGAAGGAAATGGGGAAAACGGGAAGCCTGAAGATGGAGAGAAAGGCAAACGGGCCAAAGGGGTGACGGGTGGCCCCAAAGCATCCCAAATCCCGCGGCCAATCCCGCCGGAGCGCCGGCCAGCGGAGGACATCGCACCCGCCGATCCGATATGCGACATTCCCTCCGAGTCGGGAGCGCCGGCTCGCTGCCGCTCATCCCGGGTGTCTTTCCTCCCCGGACACGGCGGCTCCAGGCAGATCCAAGGCGCCCGATCCCGTGCTCTCCACCCGGATGGCGCTCGAGCTCCGGCTAATTCCCCACACAAGCTAATCCACGAGCTAATCCATCAGCCAGGCTCCATCCTACTGATGTGGGAATTACGGAGCGGGGAACCCGGCACAACCAGGAGCCGTGGCCGGTGACTAATTGCCTCTTAATTGAGGGTTTAGCGGCTCGAGAAGCCACTCGGCGGGTTCAGCGACACCCCGGAATCCTTGGAAGTTTCAGGGTGTTGCGTCCGGCTGCTCTTCCCCCGGGAAGGGGGGAATAATGCAGTAAATGTGGGATCGATGCTGGCAAGGGTTTGGGAAACCTCTGGTTGTCCGCAGAGTCACCAAATTCCTTTTCCGGGCTGCAAAGCGACAGGCGGATCTGCCTAAATCCACTTGGGATCCGTGCAGAGGAGGGATAAACCCTCGGCAGGGCCGGCCGAGCTTCCCTTGGGAATGAGACGTGTCCGACAGAGCAGGCGCTGCCGACCAGCGCCCACAGACACTGACAGCCCAAAAAAGACACGGCTGGCCCCAAAGAGACATTGGTGGTCCCAAAAATGACACCGACGGCCCCAAAAAAGACACGGGGTGACAAGGCCAAGGAGCCGCCCCGTCCGGAGCGGCTGTGACGGGGCGATAACGCGGCGAGGAAGAGGCAGGGCCGGCAGAGGAGGATGAAGATTAGGAAGGAGCCGAGCGCGGCGCCGGAACCGGTCGGACCGGTGGGGACGACGCCGAAGCCGCCCCACGGTGCCACCCGCTCCGAAGGCGCCGGCTGCGGGATGCGGGATTGGGATCAGAATCGGGAGTGCTCCCGTCTGCCCAGGGTAGACAAAACGCCTCTGGGAAGCGGGGAAGCAAAGGGCACAACGGGGACTTTGTGTCCGCAGGGATACAACGTGCCCGGGGGGCGCTCCCTATGGAGCCCCCAGCGGGATCCGAAGGGAATCCTCCCGAAGGAAGGGGCTTTGGGAGCAGATCCCGCGTGTCCGGGGCCGGTGCCGGCCGCGCTGCTGCAGCCGCAGCCCAGGACGGCGCCGCGAAAACAACCGCCGCCTGTTCCGCCGCCTGTTCCGCCGCCTGTTCCGCCGCCTGTTTCTCGCGAGAGGCAGGCGCAGGCCGATTGAGCAACCGCGGCGCGGCCGCAGCCGAGTTCCCCTCGCGCCGCTTCCCGGAACTCCCCGAAGGAGCCCTGCTCTTCCCAAGGAGCCCTGCTCTTCCCAAGGAGCCCTGCTCTTCCCAAGGAGCCCTGCTCTTCCCAAAGATCCTGGCTCTCCAGCCAGGAAACTCCCCAGGGATTTGTTTGTTTGGGTTCTCAGAGGAGGCGGGGAAAAAACAGGAGGGTTTGGGCCGGACTTCCCTGGCCCCTAAGTGGGCTTTGGCTCTTCCTGTAGTGGAAGCAGCTGATCCTGACCCGGCTCCAAGACTCTTCCCAGCCCCTCCCGGCCATGGCCAGGATCCCAGCGGATCCCGCGCTTCTCCCTGCCTGCCTCCGTCTTTCCCTAAACGTCGGCATCTCCTCCAACTTCTCAAGCTTTAACAGCGCCAATTAGAGCTGTGAAAGCCTAAAGGAGCTTCGGGAAGCGGCGCAGGCCGAGCGCTCCCGCCCCGCTCCATCCCACACGGATTTCCCTCTCCTTCATCCTGAACGCAGCTCTGGGAAGCGGCGCGCTCCGAGCGCTCCCGCCCCGCTCCATCCCACACGGATTTCCCCCTCCTTCACCCCTAATGCAGCTCCGGGAAGCGGCGCGCTCCGAGCGCTCCCGCCCCGCTCCATCGCGCGCGGATCCCGCGGAGCCGCTTACCGGCGGTGTTGGCGATGGCCAGCGGCAGCCCCTGCAGCTGGTGCACCTGGATGCCGGACGCTCCCAAGGCACTGAGGTTGATGGTCTGGAGGCCGGGCACGGAGGAGAGCTGCGCCGCGTTGACGGTGACGGTGCCGCCGGGCAGCGAGGCGATGGGGGCCAGCGTGGTGCTGGTGGCGCCCGTGGGCGCCAGCGACACCCCCTGCACGGGGGCCAGCGTGATAGTCTGCGCCTGCGCGTTCTGCACCTGCACGTTCTGCAGCTGGATGGTCTGCCAGCTCACCTGCCCGTTGGGCCCCACCGTGGGCGTGCGGATGAGGATGGGCCCCGAGTTGGGCAGCGCCTGCAGCTGCAGGTTCTGCAGCGCGTCCTGCGCCAGGGCCTGCCCGGCAAAGCTCTGGCCCGCCAGCGGCGCCGGCTGCAGCGCCTGCAGCGCCTGCCCGCCCTGCACCAGCTGCGGCTGCAGCAGGAGCTGTTGCTGCTGCTGCTGCGCGGCCGCATCGCCCTCCTTCTGCTGCGCGCCGGGCAGCGGCGCCGCCGCGGCGCCCTGCAGCGAGTCCGAGGCGGCGGCACCGGCCCCGCTGCGGCCCGCGGGGCTGCCCGCA